GAAAAGCGCTCTTTGGTGATCACCATTCTGCTGTTTTGAAAGCTTGAATGGATGTGGACGCCCATAGTCCGTTGCGGCGTGATATCGGTGTACTGGGATCATTGGCGACCGACTTGGAGTCTCGTTGTGATTACTCTGTGGGTCCGGATTGGGTGTGAGGATTACAGCACGATTGGATATGTTGTCATTGGTGCACCACCAAAGAACAATTTCAAATGAGGGGGGTGTAGGGATGGTAATGCAAAAACACAATGTGCACACTGATATGGTCGATACACGCATTAGCAGTCCCTGAGTGGCTTGTGCCATTCCCAAGGCAACTGGACTCTCCTGGACCAGCCCGGCCGGCTCTAGAAAAAATATGGGATCAAGGCTACATTAGCATTCATAGCGTTAGCTTAAGTGTTAGAGTGGTCAATGTACTGGTTATAAAGTCTGTCAATAATGACTCTTCATGGCTTTCTATCCCCCCCAAAAAATCTGCCTTTCCAATGGTAATTAGCAGATGTTAATGAATTCTGCATGTATTGCGGTGGTTTATCTGCAGTTCATGCTAGCCAGAGGTGTAGCTAATATTTCTCGTTACTTAAGCTCCGTAAAAGAGGCGACATAAGAAATGGCTGACAGTAGGATGGAGTACATTTCTACTCCACTGCAAATGAATTTTACATTTTGTTAAATACAAATATTCATGGTTTGCTATTCACAAATTCACCTTTTTGCATGCCCCCCAAGGAAATCCCTGCTATTTTTGGCCTCTATATTTAACACGAGATTGTTGTATGTTGTGGTAGAGTGAAATTGAGCTGCTGTTTTTAGCAGAAGAGGATCATCTCATCAATGTTAGCTCTTTTATTTTGGGGGGGGGCGGATAATCTATTTCTTTTTGTGGGGCTGAGGAAGGGAGTCAATTACTGTGCTCTATTTGACCCGGAGCAGGAAAATATAATTTTGATTAATTCCTACGGGTATGCTTTTTAAAAAAAAAAAAAAAAACCAATCAGCGTTCTAAAATGGATTATTTCACTCCAGATTTCTCCTACGTATGAAACGATCCCTAATGAGCAACATTTATACATGCTCCCTCGGGTGCATTGATATCATCATAAGTCAACAGCGCTAAAGATGTATAGTGTAATTGGCGTCATACTGGACTAAAAGTTTCCAAAAGAATCTGAAGAAAATACACATTGTAAAATTTGCAATATTCAAATTCCTTTCAATTGCGGAACTCACTCTGAGGCTGGTTCATTGCATAGTTTGACTTCACAACTGAATGAAAAAGAAACTGTCAAATATATTCCAGAGCATGACCGAATACGTACTCGACAGCCCCAATTGGCATCTTTGACTTTCACTGCTGTCAAGGTTTGAAGTAGCACAGTTAGTGTATGTGTACTGTGGGTGTTTGTTTTGCCTTTTGCAGACTACTCCTAATTAGCACCATTGGATTTGATAATTAGTCCAATAAGGGAATTCCCTTGGAGCTGGTGCATAATGAGTTTTTGACTGTGTGTGTGCGCGTGTGCGCGCTTGACTGTGTGTGTGCGCGCGCGCGTGTGCGCGTGTGCACGTGTGCGTGTGTGTGTGCGTGTGTGCGTGTGTGTGTGTGTGTGTGTGTGTGTGTGTGGTCTGACTCGAGGCTATGTAATCCGTTATCAGCAAAGATGAGATGATTTTCACTGTGACGAATCCGCAGTCTACTTCAAATGTTTCTTTATTTTGACAACTTTGATGTCATCCAGACTTTTAATTGCGAGGTTTCGGGCTATTTATTGGCGCTAAGTGTCCTTGAGAGAGAGAGAGAGAGAGAGAGAATGTGTGTGAGAGAATGAGCGTAAGACATTTGCTGTCCCAATCAATGTTATGGATCCTGTCCTTTGTCGTTGCAGCGGAGACTTGTGTGGGTTTGTGAAATGAGTATTAATAGCTGCTCCATTTTTTTTTCCAGTCGACACAATGACTTTCATCAGAGTGTGTTTGTTTCCCTTGTTGTGTGCATGTGTGTGTCAGTCAGATATGTTGGTCTGTCCCCCCCATGTACGCAGAGCTTGTGGAACAACTAACACTTTGGCTTTATCCTAAATAACACTTGCACAAGAAGTCTTGTGAGATCCAATTTGAATGACTCGTGAGCAGAGAGTAATTGTTGAAGTTGCCGCATCATGCAGAGATGTTGTCTTTCAAATGACAATGGAAACTAATTATCCCGATCGGCGAACCGCTGACGAGTGCAGAGTGTGACGATGCGGCACAAAGCCTGCCGGTCATTGTTTTTAAGTGACCGCGGAGTAAATAAAGAACAATACGACAGTACATTTGTTGGCCTTTAAAAAAAGTTGCTTGTACGTGAGCAAACAGTAGAGCCGATCCCCACAATCCAGACGGACAGTCATCAATAAACATCATGGAGCCCATTAGCTTCCATGTCCATGCCATACCTATGCCTCCATGACTTGGAATGAATCAAAAACTAGTCTGATCTTGAAATACTTCCTGTTTTCACTCTTCTTCTTTTTTAAATGTCGCCAGTGCAAAACAATAATGTGCTGCCACTTGGTGCCAGACAGTGAAATTGCATCCAAAGTAAACTGCAAGCAGAACAAAATTGTGTTATAAAAATGGAGTCTATACAAATAAATAAATAAACTCTTCCATCCATTTTCCGATCCGCTTTATCCTCACAAGGGTCGTGGGGGGTGCTGGAGCCTGGCCCAGCCGTCTTTGGGCGGCGGGCGGGGTACAGCCTGAACCGGTTAATTATCCACCCAAATGCAGGTCGCGAACCCGAAACCCACATTGGAGGGGCGTTTATGTTATAATAGAGGTGTCAAAATAAATTAATCAATCGACAACTATTCAATTATCACATTAACCGACAACTATTTTCATACTCGGGTCGTCGTTTGGAGGCATTGTTTAACTTAATGTTGTCCAATTCCTTTGCTTTCATCCGTCATGAAATTGGACTGGTTATATTTTATGTTTAATGAGAATAAGATACAGTATTTGCAAACATTTGCTTTTACTTTGGAAAACAAAGTCCAAACCAGAAACTGAATCAGTTTCCAAAAGGTTGGAGAGTTCAACATCAGTCCCTCCCGCATGACATTGCTTAATTGTTGTTTTAGTTGTATATCTAAACAATACCAAATAAACAACCGGAATTGGTGAATAAAAATGAATCGGTCGAAAATGGTTTTGAAATACATTTTAGTGCAAAAAAAAGAACAAAAAAAGTAATAGTGAAATGATTATTGGATTAGTCTCACTGTTAGCATGATAATATACAGTACATGCTAACCAAACGTGACCAAAAACCAGCCTGCCATATCTTGTCAACTAGAGGCTTCAAAGTCACTCATTTGAGATGTGTCGTTCCATTTCTATTAACCTTGGTGTCAAAGTTATCTGAAGGTGGTCCTGTGCACTGGATTTATACAGAATTTAATTGTCGGGTACCCTCATTCATGTCTGAAGAATTGAGAGATTAGGAGGGCCTGTTAGTAGTGCGTGTGACTTATTTTTGCGACAGCCACGTGCTATTAGTGCATCACGTTTTTGATGCTATTTGGCTCCACGTATTTGTTCCTGCGTGTGTCCTTCCGATGCGGCAACTCTCGCCGTGGCATTGGATGAATGCAGTCTTACTTTTATTACCGTACCACTGATGTGTGTGCCTTTTGTTGCAACACCCCATTGGCGGTCTGCGGTTTGGTCTCAGTCAGAGAGCGAGTTGATTTGCATCCCCTTAAGATCGATCCTGGTTTTAGCATGTGGAGAGGTGGGCACAGTGCTCCAATACCGTTGGCTCATCATGTTCTCTGCCTCCTAATGTGATTACCTCTCCACATAAAACGACCAATATGACCACATGACTGTGCGACAGATCTAGTGTTTAAAGTACACTGCAATGTCTGAGAGTGTTTTTCCTGGCAGCAAGTGAACATACACGCACATAAATTGAACTCACGCCGCTCAATTCCGATACGCATTAGTTCAAGTGGCCGCTTTTAGGCAAATAACAGCACTGCTGTCACCGTTATTGCAGCCGTCTTGGTCATTCTGCTTACAGAGAAAACAAAATGTCCACAATTATCTAATTACATCCACATTTTAATCCACATTTTAATGAATTTGACCTCGTTCCGCCAGCCAGTTGGCACTGTTTCACGCTCATCAAGTCAAAGATGATTCCACACCTGGGATATCAGACAAGAGCAAAGAATTACTGTGAATTATACTACCTGTCAGAAGTGGACATTTTTAGGTCACTAATTTACAGATGGCGGATTAAGAACTTTCGAGGATGTCTGATTTTCTCTCAAAGAAGACTGGCTGGGTCTTTTTATGCCTTGTCGTATACACTCAGCAGTTGCAACAGGTGCTTCTGCACAGTCTGATGACAACGTTGCTCCTCTCTTCTCCCTGCTTCAATCCAATGGGCTTTTTCATTTCGCATGGTATGTTTAGTGTTTTTTTATTTACGTGTCCGTGCGCAAGCTGTCAGGAATTTGCTCCTTGAGCCCTCCTAACCCCGAAAGGTGTTTCTGTGAAAGGCGGAATAACATCACACATGGATATTAAAACAATCAACGCAGACAATGAACAAAAAACAAAAGGAACGAGGCAAATTCACCGCGTGTTTGGAGAACTCGTTTGTCTGGACGATGTTTATTCTTCCATGATTTTGTGATTCCTGCTTGCTTTGAAGAAAGGAACGAGGCAAATTCACTGCGTGTTTGGAGAACTCGTTTGTTTGTTCTTCCATGATTTTGTGATTCCTGCTTGCTTTGAAGAATGTTTCTAGCCATGTCAGCCATTTTAGATCATGTTCAAATGAATTACTTTTGTGCACGCCATAGCTCACGACCAGTCCGTGAGTAATATTTGATCGCCATGCTTCATCAAAACAGCACAGCCAGTATGTTTAAATCACACCCATTCCAGGCAAATAATATTTCAGTCACTCAATACCTGTCTCTGTTCTGTCATCTCTTAGGATACGTCCTCAGATGGCCAAAGAGAAGATTGAAGGTTGCCACGTGTGTACATTGGTCACACCCGGAGAGCCGCAAGTCCTCCTGGGCAAAGACAAGGCCTTCACCTATGACTTTGTTTTCGACATCAACTCAGAACAGCAGAGCATCTACCAAGCATGCGTGCACAAGCTCATAGAGGGCTGCTTTGAGGGCTATAATGCCACCGTGTTTGCTTACGGCCAGGTATGTTGCCGAGGTCTCGGCCTTAACAAAAGTCTGGTATGATCCCGTAGCAAGTGTAAGGTGGGAACTATCTCTCGATGCATGTCATTATTGCCACATTAGTTGGGAACAAAACAGCAAATTACGCGTGAGAACACAGTTGTCTCACAATTCCTTCGCTGTAGTCCCACCTGTACTGTCAGTTTTTGATCGGATCACCCAGGATGACTGTTAATCCAGAAAGGGTTTATGCTTGGGATTTATTTTAGGTTTTAATTTTCTGTTTGTACAGGTTCTGTTTGCTTGTACATCCACGATTGCTAAACATACTGAAGGCATTTTGCTGTCTTTCCACTTCAACGGGCTTACAAAAGCTTTCCAGAGAAATTTCAAACCCAGTAAAAAGTTTGTATATAATGGCCAGAACATTTACTTGTATTTTCCAATAAGATCCGAGCTTAAGAAACACCTCGCTCTGAGATCCAGTGCAGTTTTTACCTACTGCAAAACCACAGTTGTTTGTAATAGACTAAGATATTTTTCATGCCTCTCCCTCTGCACCAAAATGCGTTTTTCTTGACCCATGTAAATCAGGGTACTTCCAGACTCATTTTTCCATTCGTAATGGTTCTAAATTAAAACGATAAATATTAAAATCTGTTGCGTAAATGTAAATATTACATATTGTGCCACTCTAAGATTGTCTGCCCAACTCCTTGCGAATACTCCTTTTCTCAGCATACATCAGAGAAAATGTTGAGCAGCTTTTGTTGCGGAATGTTCAGTATTGCACACGGCAGCACTTTATCTTTAAACGCCACCGCAATCCTCAACTTTGCACATATACAGATGAGACAAAATCCAAACAAAACAGATCATGGGCTAAAATGACACAATAAAATATCAGTGTTAGGATTCATTGAGTCCATTTTAATTTATTTAACATATGTTACATTATAAATGTACACCATATTCTTTCTCAGTACATGAACATTAAATTTGTAATTGATTATAGTACTCTAAACCAGTGGTTCACAAACAATTGACATAAAAAACACATCTAAAAAAATATCTAGCTCCTCAAGTATCACCAAAATGGCCGACCATTAAAATACAGTAGCGTACTTGGCATTAATGTTCCTGAAAAAAGACAGCGATTTATTTTGTAATAAGCATCTTCTTCTTCTCCTTTCGGCACGTCCCTATTCAGGGGTCACCACAGCGAGTCAGTAATTTCCATCCGCCCCTGTAAACCGTCCTACCAACTCGCATGGTCGTCTTGGCAAAAGTTTTACGCCGGATGCCATTCCTGACGCAACCCTCCCCATTTCTCCGGGCTTGGGACCGGCACTGGGGAACAGTGCACCCCCAGGGGAGGGCACTGCACCCCAGCGGCTGGGTTATTTTGTAATAAGCATATTTAATATTATATTTAGTTATTGTTCGCATCATGTGATAAGTGAACCCCTTGAACTCTATTTCGGCAGTGATTCTTTCACACAACACTAGAGGGTGCCCACGTACTAGTAGTAGAATAGTGTGAAGAAACAACATTTTCGGTAGTTGAGGTCACAGTATGTGTAATGACCTGTCAATGTAAGTTATTTTGTAATGTCAGACTGTCGGTTCCACTATGTTTGGACGATAAATACCAATTTCACTGTGCTTCATTCAGACTGGCTCCGGGAAGACGTACACCATGGGGACCGGTTTCGATGTGAGTCTGGCCCTGCCGGAGCAGGGCATTATCCCACGAGCTGTTCACCAGCTCTTTGAAGGGATCCAGAGCAGGAAGGAGCAAGCTAAAGAAGCCGGCACCCAGCCCCCCGAATTTAAAGTCAGCGCGCAGTTTCTTGAGGTACGTGATGCAGAGGAAATTGGATGTACGTGTGTGTGTGTGCGTGCGTGAACTGGGATGGCCTTATTAACTCGAACCAGATGGGGCGAAAGGGGGAAAGAATAGAATCAGACCCCCCCCCCTTCCACAAACAGGAAGTGACAAGCTGATGACAGATTGGGCAGGAGTGTCTCCTGTGCTTCGTCCCGATGAATGTTGGCCATTACGACTGACATTAGTCTCCATCACTGTGGGCTGCAAGATGGATAAGGGCAAGGGATGAGTGGGGGATAGAGGGATGCAAGTCTGCAAGCCACAAGATAAAAAGACAGCTCTTCTGGATGTTTTTGCCTCCTCCGAATGTCAGTGGAAGTATGGGTGGGTGATTTGATTATGCTTAAAAGTAATTGTATTACCCCACTCAATAATATGGGTTGGTTGTTGGTCTCTGGTCGTGGGGGCTTCCAATAGCTTCACAGGTCAAAAGGTTATCGCTATTGATGTTAAACGTGTGTGCGTGTGTGTGTGTGTGTGTGTGTGTGTGTGTGTGTGTGTGTGTGTGTGGGTGTGGGCTTTGTGTGTGTGAGGTGGGAAAAGCTGAGCTTTCAGCTTACTTGTGTGACCTGTGGCCTCATTAGCCTCAGTCATCATTCATCTGATCCAATCGGCAAAAAGGCTGTTTGCATGCGTTTAGGTTTTTCTTTTGATAACGATAATCAGGAAACTGAATGAGATATGTCAACTTTTTGTTTTTTTAAAAAATATAATTCTGATTATAAAATTTTATTTTTATTTCAATCCTGTGTTCGTTTTAGCTTTACAATGAAGAGATCCTGGACTTGTTTGATGGCGCGAGAGATCCAGAGTGTCGGAGCCGGAAGTCCAACATCAAAATCCACGAGGATGCGAGTGGCAGCATCTACACCACCGGGGTCACTTCCAGACTTGTCCAGTCAGAGGAGGAGGTCGGTGCATTTTCTTTTTCACTACATTTGCACATGTCTGCCCTTGTGTCAAATAATTCTGCCTTTGGAATAATAAAAGGCCAAGTGGTTGATGCTGTCATTGTGCATTGTATTCCCAACTGTGAAGACACTTGAGAGACAAGTGAGGCAGATGGATGCTCCTCTGGGGGAAGAACATGTCAAGAATTTGTGTGTATTTTATGTTATGCGTGTACATTTCTAAACAGATGAAATTTCCCTGCATGTGGCCGGAAATTCCACTTGTGTGGAAGCAACACAGAGTGACAGTGACGACAAATTGCACTGGGTTGCCTTGCCTTCATTTCAAATTAAAAGTAGAATCCATGTGATATTTTGTGTTATGTGTGCAGCTGCTGCAGTGTCTGAAACTGGGCGCGCTGTCCCGCACCACTGCCAGCACGCAGATGAACGCTCAAAGCTCCCGCTCACACGCCATCTTCACCATCCACCTCTGTCAGATGAGAGTCTGCCAACAACCGTTACAATTGGTGAGCCCCGCGGCAGGCTGAAGGGATCGGGGTAATAATGAATAGAGACAAAAGACACAGCGCGACGGGGAGATTCGTCGGGAGTCTTATCGGAATTTCATCATAATCTGCTTTTACGTACAAATCTCTCAGTAGGCAGAGGAAGGAGGATTAGGATTAATGAGAGGATAGAAAAGGCAGGTAAGGGTAGGGAAGTGTAAATATGGTAAAATTAAGGAAAAAAAAACGTATTCCTCTATTTTGGTACTTGAAACTGAAATGAACCCTCCAGGGACAGCGGTGACCATAGTGGACAGTTTATCATGTTAGCATGTTACAGGGTGCATGAAAGGGTTAAGTGTACTTCAATAACACTGCGCATAAAAAAGGTTGTACAGTATTTATCAACTGTATCTGCTATTTCAAAACCCATCTGTTTATAGCATAATCCCAAATTTGATGTTGTAAAGTACAATCATAAGAGCACGGATGTATAACTATCTGAGGAATGAAGGTGTTTGTGCCATCATATTATCTCTTTTTTTCCTCCTTTCTAACACCTGCGCTTTATTTGTTTCCTGTCCAACCTGCTCGCTAGCCAAATGGAGACGGGGAGACTGAGGAATTAAATGGTGTGGAACCCCGTGCCATCGAGCAGCCAGAGTATGAAGCACTGATGGCTAAGTTCCACTTTGTGGACCTGGCTGGTTCTGAGAGGCTCAAACGCACCGGCGCCACTGGAGAGCGAGCCCGTGAGGGAATCTCCATTAACTGTGGACTGGTAAGGCAGAAACAGACTTTGTGTGTGTGTGTGTGTGTGTGTGTGTGTGTGTGTGTGTGTGCGTGTGTGTGTGTGTGTGTGTCTGCTTTCACTGTTTGGAAACATTGTTTGGTTCATGTGATGCTAGCTTATTATAGCGTGCGTTTCTTGTGTCTGTGTGTGTTGTAGTTGGCCCTGGGAAATGTCATCAGTGCTTTAGGAGACCAGACCAAGAAAGGGGGCCACGTCCCCTACAGAGACTCCAAACTCACTCGCCTGCTACAGGACTCACTCGGAGGCAACAGGTACCTGACGTACACCACGATGTTAGCTTCAGGCTAAAGCTAGAAGTTCCCCCTCAAAGGCAAGTGTAAACGTGCAACCGACTGCCAACTAGTTGAGAATCATTTGAATCTGAAGCATCTCTGCCGGTTGCAGCCGTGCAGCGTGCTCCGTTTTGACGTCCTTGCTTCAAAACAAGACATCAGTCAAACCCGCTTAATTGACAGAATGAACCCACATGTATGATACTGTGGTACTCTGATGTATACGAAAGCCGTTGCCTTACAAAGATCCCCATTGAATGAAAAATATGACATTTTTCCCTCCAGTCGCACGGTGATGATCGCCTGTGTGAGTCCCTCTGACCGTGACTTCATGGAGACACTTAACACGCTCAAGTATGCCAACCGAGCGCGCAACATCAAGAACAAGGTGGTGGTGAACCAAGACAAGACCAGCCAGCAAATCAGCGCCCTGCGTGCCGAGATCGCCCGCCTCCAGATGGAGCTGATGGAGTACAAGGCGGTGCGTGGCGGAGGGGACTAATAGTGGGGGGGACAACAAGAAACGGTTGCACAGAGATATTTTGATGAGAACGGTTGAGTCTGAGATGAGGAAAGCGTTAGATATAAGAAAGGAGCTATTGCACACAGTCCTCCGTCTAACTGATGCAATTGTGCGGAAAGGGCCCGACGGAAGAGCAGGCATGGCGGATACAATCTAGCAGAAGTATAAAGAATTTGTGTAAGTTATGTTTGAGAATTAAGCTTACTGAGTAAAATTAACAGAAAGTTAAAATGTCATGAAACTAAAATATTTTATCGTGGTGCAAAATAGATAACCAACCGTAGGTACTTTATTTGTGTTTTTTTGACGAGGTCACTCAGGTAAAATAAAATTCCTTGAAAAGCACGACCACAACTATAAAGTGTTTCAATGATTGCCTGATAAAAGGCTCGAATGGGATTTTCCATGATTATTTATTGAAAATGACCAAACTTGATTTCCCTTTCCTCCTTTGGACTCTGCATGAGGACCTTCATTCAAAACAATGCGCCCTTGGAAACATTGTTTGGTTCATGTGATGCTAGCTTATTATAGCGTGCGTTTCTTGTGTCTGTGTGTGTTGTAGTTGGCCCTGGGAAATGTCATCAGTGCTTTAGGAGACCAGACCAAGAAAGGGGGCCACGTCCCCTACAGAGACTCCAAACTCACTCGCCTGCTACAGGACTCACTCGGAGGCAACAGGTACCTGACGTACACCACGATGTTAGCTTCAGGCTAAAGCTAGAAGTTCCCCCTCAAAGGCAAGTGTAAACGTGCAACCGACTGCCAACTAGTTGAGAATCATTTGAATCTGAAGCATCTCTGCCGGTTGCAGCCGTGCAGCGTGCTCCGTTTTGACGTCCTTGCTTCAAAACAAGACATCAGTCAAACCCGCTTAATTGACAGAATGAACCCACATGTATGATACTGTGGTACTCTGATGTATACGAAAGCCGTTGCCTTACAAAGATCCCCATTGAATGAAAAATATGACATTTTTCCCTCCAGTCGCACGGTGATGATCGCCTGTGTGAGTCCCTCTGACCGTGACTTCATGGAGACACTTAACACGCTCAAGTATGCCAACCGAGCGCGCAACATCAAGAACAAGGTGGTGGTGAACCAAGACAAGACCAGCCAGCAAATCAGCGCCCTGCGTGCCGAGATCGCCCGCCTCCAGATGGAGCTGATGGAGTACAAGGCGGTGCGTGGCGGAGGGGACTAATAGTGGGGGGGACAACAAGAAACGGTTGCACAGAGATATTTTGATGAGAACGGTTGAGTCTGAGATGAGGAAAGCGTTAGATATAAGAAAGGAGCTATTGCACACAGTCCTCCGTCTAACTGATGCAATTGTGCGGAAAGGGCCCGACGGAAGAGCAGGCATGGCGGATACAATCTAGCAGAAGTATAAAGAATTTGTGTAAGTTATGTTTGAGAATTAAGCTTACTGAGTAAAATTAACAGAAAGTTAAAATGTCATGAAACTAAAATATTTTATCGTGGTGCAAAATAGATAACCAACCGTAGGTACTTTATTTGTGTTTTTTTGACGAGGTCACTCAGGTAAAATAAAATTCCTTGAAAAGCACGACCACAACTATAAAGTGTTTCAATGATTGCCTGATAAAAGGCTCGAATGGGATTTTCCATGATTATTTATTGAAAATGACCAAACTTGATTTCCCTTTCCTCCTTTGGACTCTGCATGAGGACCTTCATTCAAAACAATGCGCCCACCCTAGTAAATGGAGACGGCTGCGATTACTGTGTGAATTCGCATACATTTTGAACAGCCCAAAAAAATCCTGCTCGCTACCGACAAACCAATTAAAAACAAAGCTCGTGAACGCGTGAAGCAGTCTCCACTTTTTTTGACCGCTTGCTTGTTCCACCTACAATGTGATCAAGTGAGCTGTCGCCCTGACTCGAGGGGAGCGAATCCAACTTGGCCTGGATGTGGTTTCAGCGATGAGACGTGACTGCGAGTCACACAGGCTTCTGCCACCGGACGTAATGAAGTTTGCGTGCTGCGAACGGATTAGACAGCGACTCTCTGTTCATCGGTTATGCAATAGAGTTTTTCAGTGTTTCTCATTCAGGGTCTGACAATGACAACTTGAAGAGCCCAACACAGTCGAACCAGTCTTGTCCACCTTAGATAAGTCTCACACTATCGTATTGTTTCAAAACACGTTGACGCCTCGACTGGCACTCATTGGGGTACCGGACTCCGCCAAGGCTCCTAATTTGGATCAGCGCCAAATGATGCTGTCACTTTTAGATTCAAAAGTCTTAGTTGGTACTGGTTGTGGTCCCAGTTGGTGCTTGTTCCACTTTGTGTTTATTAGCACTATTCCAACACTTGAAAACATTCTTCCATTTTATATTCTTGCCACCAATAATGTCACATAGCTTATTGTAGTACATTTTGGTTCTCTCTGAATTCATATAGCGTGAAACAAACTCAAACCGGGCAGGTTCTGATGATCTCTTACAACACAGGTGTCAAAGTCAAGGCCCGGGGACCAGATCTGGCCCCCCACATCATTTTATGTGGCCCACGGGAGCAAATCATGTGTCAATTATCATGATTCTTGCTGAAATCTGTACCGAAATGTCAAATTGTCATGGGTAAAAATAACGTTGAGATTTTGCACTGGCCCTCCGAGGGAAGCCTTAACTCCGAAGTGGCCCGCGACGAAAAATCAGTTTGACACTCCTGTCTTACAACAATGTGCATGTTTTTGCAAAGTGGGAGGAAAGCCCATGCCATACAGATCCCCACCCTCAAATCATCCTGTCTCTCCTGTCACTCACGTGGACTCTCTCGGCATGCAGGGGAAGCGCGTGGCATGTGAGGACGGTTCGGAGGGTTACAGTGACCTGTACCAGGAGAACGCCCTGCTCCAAAGAGAGAATGACACTCTGCGCCTCCGGGTGAAAGCCATGCAGGAGACCATTGACCACCTGAACACCCGAGTCACACATCTGTTGGCCAACGAGGTCAGCGTGCTGCTCTCCAAGTCAAGTACGTGCGCTCCTCTTGCATTTTTATCGTCACTTGGGAGTCGTTTTGGTCTTGTAAATGACACTCATCAATGCAATTATTTTTCCCTCCTCCTTTCCGATCATGAAAAAAGTAGTGACATTGTTGTAATTCGCACGCATTTATTTTGTGTTTTGATTGCATCTGACTCGTGCTTCTTACTTGACCTCTAGGTGAGGGCAACCAGGAGATTGGGGCTCTAATTCAGAACTACATCAGGGAAGTTGAAGAACTCAGGTAAGCATCTTGCATTTCAATATGAAAACTTTCAGGAAAGCACAGCGAGTTGCATGAGGTGAAAAGTATCAAACTTGATGCCAGATAATCATAAATTGTACAATTGGCCAGTGTTCCCTCTTACAGTTGAGGGGCTCTTGAGCAAGGCACCCGACTTCCCGGCCTCTCTGCTTCGCTGTCACTGCCAAAGTGTATTTTTGATGTCATTCTTTTCAGAAGTCAACAAATTATGCCATCACAAAAATAGCTAAAGTCGTAATATGACGAAGAAGAAAAGTAATTCTGTCAGAGCATCGTCGTAATTTTACCATCATAATTTTTTTTAACCCTTGTGAAAGGAATACTTTTGAGTACTGTTGTCAAGTTGCGTTACTTACTTTGAGTTTGACGAACAATGGCATCAATATTGAGTGACAGCAACACCCTGATCAGTATCGACTTTGAATGTGATTGTACACATTAAATGTCTGTTCCTGAGGGGAAAAAAAATCTGAAACAAATGGAAATTGCTTCTTTTTAGGTTTGTTAAATAATATGAACAAAACTTTGTTTTTGTTTTTTTTTTAAAAAAATATTTACTGACACACTTAATAATCAATTTCTGTGCAAATTCTTTCCTTTCCACGAAGTTGTGAATTTTCAATTTTGTAATAGTATTGTTTTTTTCTTGCCTCTTTTTTTTCCCCCTTTTCTGTGCAGTCCGAACACCCTTAATTTTCTCTAATCCGAACGTCACAAAAACCTCAGCTGTCTTTCTGATTTAGATCCAAGCTGCTGGAGAGCGAGGCCATGAACGAATCATTGCGACGTCAAGCTGCTCGGCTCCCCTCTCGCGCAGCACCATTCACTTCTTCCTGCCTGAGCCCCGCCCCCGGACACCCACCCGGCTCGTCCCCGGCGGCCATGTCCATGGAGGCCGAGATGACGGACGTGTTGCGCAGAGCCAAGCTGGACATCGAGAGGCTGAAGAAGAAGGAGAGAAGGCAGAGGAGGATGAGGTGAGGAGATCATCGCCTCATATTCATCCCTTTTTACATCACTCCCGCGGAGCTCAACCCTTCCCGTTGCTGATCTACTTGAGCTTAAGAGGTGCATTATCAGGTCATTTAGGCAGTCAGTCCCTGAATGGAATTGGGATGCAGCCAGGAGTAAAACTGGCTCTGGCTCCGAATGCTCCATTCAGATGGCAACTGGGTCATGAGAGAGGAGAGTGCACAGTCCAAAAGGCTAATTGGGATTTAATGGGATGTAGATGGAAGTCGATGGGGAATTTTAAGATGGGGCGTTTGATCAGATGCATGCTTGTAAAACTCAGAGCAAAGGGCAGGGTAAAAATGGTAATAACATAATAATAGCTAATGAGTCTGGATTTTATGTCCAGCACATCACTTGGAGTCTTTTTCAAAGCACTAATGGTGGAGCGGTATATTTTGCTCAAAACTGATCAATACCGTTTTATTTTACAGTCATATAAACCACAGGGACCGCCGTGCTCAATTAATTCATTATTATTTTTCAATTCGTGACCATTTTGTTTTTGACCTCCCACCAGTCCAGAGTTGGAGAAAGGTTTGAAAAAACGTGTGAAGTTGCACAACCACGAGAATGGCGACAACGTGCAAAATGGACAAAACGGACTGAACGGAGAGGTTGATTCGGATGACAATCACGCCGAGGTAACTGAAGAGCAGTGCCTTGATTCATAGCTGAGACAGAAAGAAGAGTGGCTAATATCTTGATCTTTGTGGGCAGGACATCATGTCTACGTTGCAGGAAGAAAGTGGTTGCGACGAGGAGGAGGAGGAGGAGGAAGAGGGAAGGGAGGAAGATGACGAGTTTGACAGCGATGAGAGCCTGGTGGACTCAGATTCCGATTCTGATGAGAAAGGTGCGCTTCTTTGATATCGTACACTCAGAAGTCCCCACAAAGACATATTGTGTCTCGATGTATTTTGACTCATTAATTCACACTTTTCCATTGTATGTTATGACCACGCTGTCTTAAGTTATGGCTGTTTGGTTTTTTTTTTTTTTCGGTTCAAGTTACAGTGTCACTGTTCCCAGTATTTTGTGAATCATGTAAATAATTGCGCTCATCAAAATGTAAGATCGTGGCTAATTTAGCAATCCGTTTTTCACTTGAATCAGTCGGAATGAGTTCACTCTAATTTGACCGTTATTCTCAATCATCCACTCAAAATATCAAATTGATTATCCACGGTTGTCAATAATTGGTTCCACTTTGCCCTTTTGGCATTTGGCCTCCAACCGTCAGCCAACTTCCAGGCCGACCTCGCCGATCTGACCTGCGAGATCGAGATCAAGCAGAAGTTGATCGACGAACTGGAGAATAGCCAGCGGAGGTTGCTGATGCTGAAGCTCCAGTATGAGGAGAAGCTCATTCTGCTGCAGAACAAGATCCGAGACACCCAGCTGGAAAGGGACCGTGTGCTTCAGAACCTCAGTGAGTCCACTCGCCAGGACCCCCCAGCCCCCGCCCCCCACACACAATTAAAGTGGTGATGTAAGAACATTACTACATGGTCCTACAGTGTCCATGGAGAACTACACGGAGGAGAAGGCTAACCGCATCAAGCAGGATTACGAGAAACGTCTGAAGGAGATGAACCGGGACCTTTTGAAGCTCCAAGCTGCACAGAAGGAACACGGGCGTCTTCTTAAAAACCAGGGCAGGTACGAACGGGAGCTGAAGAAACTCCAAGCGGAGGTCAATGAGATGAAGAAAGCGAAGGTGAGAGGACAAGTGTGGGACCACAGATTTGCGGTACGAAGCCGTGCATGATCTCACCTTTCTCACCTGTCGGTCTGCTCTAGGTGGCAGTGATGAAGCAGATGAAGGAGGAGCAGCAGAGGAGGAGGCTGGTGGAGGCCAAGAGGAACCGTGAGATTGCCCAGCTCAAGAAGGAGCAGAGAAGACAAGAGGTCAGACAACCATTATCGAGGGACCGTACAGTTTACGAGCCATTAGTTTGAAGGGCTGGGCGATATGGACACATTTCGTATCTTGCTAATCATGCCAGCGATCGCATAATGATATCAAGAGGGGATGAGTGAAATCTCAACTTTTTTGGGGGGATTGGAAAAAGCTAAATATCATTCCAATAGGGTGTCGAAAGTGCCATTTTTTTTAAGATATGAATTTACTGGCAGTCATCAACATTAATAAAGTCAGCAATTATTAATAAATTATACTGCAACTCTGCTTTAACAATAATTAACATACCGATTGCATACATTTTTACCATAAGTTTTGCTATATTATCCACAGGTACATATAAAATTATAAACGTGGTTAAGTGTTGTTGTAAAACACTATATGTGCATTGTATGTACTGCATTACTATGGCGTGCGGCTGTGCTTTGCTCGCTTCAAACCTCCATATGGATAATTTGGGATCATTCGTAGTTAGTTTGCAAATGTGAATCAGTGTAGCCATACTTTTAAGTCAAGCTCTTCCTCCCTTTTCCTTCTCGTCAGTTTCAAATCCGGGCGTTGGAGTCCCAGAAGCGACAACAGGAGCTGGTCCTGCGCAGGAAAACCCAAGAGGTGACCGCCCTACGCAGGCTGGCCAAGCCCATGTCAGACCGTGTAGCTGGACGCGTGGCCCGTTGGAACCAGACCGCCCCAATTAGTGACTCTGGCGCAGAGTTGTCCGCCAGCACAACGGCAAGCAGCTCTGAACCTGAGAGCGGGAAGACTGTGAGTGGATTAGTACGGCAGTGGAACAACAAAAACAATGGGTATGGATACCTGGGAGAGAGTGAGGGGAGCATGGATGGAACGCGGGTCGTCGGGTAAGATGGCCGCAATGATGTCCGTGATGTGCAAACCGTCTATGTGGCGTCTTAGTCTTTCACGCCCGTCTGACCTCCTACAGCAGCAGGAAGAAGCTGCAGCGTAAGCCGGCCGTTGTCGGCACCACGGCGACAGCGGGCCGAGCCGCAACCTTCTCCAAGTCGGCCCGTCAGAAGTGGCAAACTCTCGAACGTCGTATTATGGACATCGTCATGCAGAGAATGACCATTGCCAACGTCGAAGCTGACATGGATCGACTCATCAAGGTTGGGGAGGCAATGAGCTATTGAAAATCATGCCTGATATTAAACATTTCTTATCCACCCACCCAACCACCACCCCGCCCACCCTGAGTTAGAAACGAGAGGAGCTGACGGCCCAGCAGGAGGCGCTCTCACATAAGAGAGTGGTACTAATGGCGGATGGGGAGGGTCCAGAAGCGGAGGACCGACTGCTGTTGGAGATTAGTGAGGATATCGAGGTTCTGAACGCTAACATCGATTACATCAACGACAGTCTGTCCGACTGCCAGGCCACAATTGTGCAGATAGAGGAGACCAAGGTATGGAGTCACACACACACACACACACACACACACACACACAGTTGTTTGTAAATAAATAAAAAAAATTTAAGAACTCCACTGATTTCTGTTACAGGATGAGTTGGACTCAGTGGATACCTCCGTGGTTATCAGCTCGTGTTCTCTGGCTGAAGCACGCCACCTGCTGGACCATTTTCTCAAGGCCTCCATTGACAAGGTCTGTCAATATCAACACGAACGAATAAATGAGTCGAGAAGTGGTAGAATTGAAATAGCGTGTTTTGTGTTGAAGCAAGGATTTGCATTTACTTGAACTCTGAAAAAAAACATTCTGTCCAGTAATGAACTTTTTCTTTGATTTTTAATTTTTTTTTTTTAATCTGAATGTTTGGGGCGGCCCAGTTTTCAGTCTCAAATTGGGGCTATACACATGATAAAAAAACAACAACAGGAAAGGGGGCTGTTTTATTTTTTTTGGGTCAAGTTGTATTCTTTTTTTTTTCCCCCCAACTTTGAACGAACCTGCAACTTGCCATAAAAATATGATCCTCAAGCTGTTTCCATTCCCTCAAGCATCTTTATGTGGAACAACTTGTCCCCAATGCTTTGACCAAGTTTGCTTAGAGGGGAAAAAAAGTTTGCATTGCGCAGTATGTACATCAGGTTATACAGCGATGAATGAAATATTCTTGTCTCTTATTCAACAAAAGGTATTTTCGCTAATGCCATTATTTTATGCAAATGACTCCTTTCTGTGACCAAAGGATGAAGCTGACACTCATCAACACACTCGTGTGTGTGTGTGTGTGTGTGTGTCTGTGTGTGTGTGTGCGTGTGTGTGTGTGTGCGTGTGTGTGTGTGTGTGTGTGTGTGTGTGTGTGTGTGTGTGTGTGTGTGTGTGTGTGTGTGTGTGTGTGTGTGTGTGTGTGTGTGTGTAGAGCTTACAGGTGGCACAGAAGGAAGCTCAGATCAGACTACTGGAGGGTCAGCTGAGACAGACCGATGTGATTGGTTCATCCCACAATCACATGATCCTCGATGCTCTGCGGGAAAAGGCCGAATGCATCCCCGAACTGCAGGCTCTCCTCCACAACGTACAGCAGGGTGAGAGGCACACCGTTTATGTAAAAGTGCAGCTTGGGAAAAAAAATGTTTTTTTTTTTTTTTTTGGAAAGATGATCCTTGTTTGTGCATATCTATGTTCTGTAGAGGTTCAAAAGTTGTTTGCAGAGTATGCGCAAGTGTGAACATATTGCTGAATCACAAATGTGTGTGTCAAATGTGCATACACAGTACACAATTTAAGCATGAATTTGTGCATATGCTCTCTTATGACTCCAAGAACGGTTACGCCAGCACAGATGAGGAGCCTTCTGAGTTCAGTCAAGCGTCAGACAACAGGTGAAACCTCCCTCAGCCCTCAGCCCCCTCCCCACCCCCGCAACCCCCGTCTCATCTTCATGCTATTTTAGTCACTTGAATTGTCAATGTATATTTACCCAAGCTCCCCATTCCTTCCTCCAGCGTCTCTCTAATGAAAGAATCCAACAGCCAAGATGACTTCAAAATAAAGGTACAGCATCTTATTTACTGTGGCTTGCATTTACATTGTGCGCCAATCACTTTGTGGTCCAGCCTTAGTTACCGACAATTTAATCACTAGATTAAATGTGAATATTTCGTGATGACGTGTGCCAGTCTTCATGTTTGTGAGCGTCCATGTGCTTTTGTAAGCCACAAGGTGGCAGTCTAAGCAAACAATTACAAGTTGGCATGTCTCTTTGAAGTTTGGTGTGAAATAATTTATCATTTGACACAGTTCTGATTTACTCTCCTGGTAGCAGTCTCCTCCATCCTTTTGTTTTGTTTTTTTTTCCAGTTTTGTTCGACCACACAGTTATTGCTGTATTATGTTCCCGCTTATCTTCTTGCTGCTAGGCTTCACCTTAATTGCATTTTGTGGTTCTGTTCGATTCCGTTTTGATGTTGATTTTACTTGGCCCTGATTGCCTTCTTCGCCTCTTCTCTTGGCTCACACTTCCCACGCAAGGTGGAACCTCGTCTGTCAGCTCAGATGAAGGCGGTGTCGGCCGAGTATCTGGGTCCCGCCCTGGAGCATTCTTCAGGCTGCAAGCAGCAGCAAATCACCAAGTCCCTGGCCTCGCTCACCGACATCCAGGAGGACGGTCTGAGCACGGTCAAGGCGAGCCTGGGCCTTGGTCTTAGTCTCTCTCTGCGTGACTACTACCACAGAGAGCGGACGTCACGCACCATCAGCTTGCCTGTCAGAGGGCACACCTTGTAAGTTGAAAACATTTCACAGTAGAACAAAAGTAATTATCAACCACTTAGCAGTGTGCTAATCTTGTTTACTCAGTGGATGTGAGTATGAACACATACTTGTGCGGGAAGGCTAACCTCGAAGAGGAACTGACAAAGAGCCCAGGCTTACAGTATATTCAAATCAAAAGAATGACATCACCTGAAAAAAAAAAGCCACAGCCTCCCACCTTAACGCGACTGAATATGTTGATAATCAACAAGATATCCCCTCGCACAGACTTTGACTTTTTGGATGAAAGAGTAGGCAAATATCGTCAAGTCAAGCTGTCCCGTGCTGATACACGCCTCCGCAAATCGACTGACGACTGCAATTGAAGCTGCTTGGGCAAATGTATAGTCTCTATAAAGTCATGAGCTTGTTTTGTATTTACCCCCTTTATTAAGTATTGTGGTTTCATTTATTTACATATTTTGAGTGTATTCTACAATATTGATGCTTGATGTAAGTTCTCAAAGGAAATGCGTTGTGTGCCTTTTTAGTCATAGCCCTAAAAAGGGAAGATGAGTCACGTACGATGTGTGTGTGTCTTTGCACTTTTCAAACGAGTCAGCCAGTTGTTTTAGTCTCAGTAACACTGCTAGTTGTGTTCCAACCACATTGCTTCTCGTTAGCGTGTGCTATTAGCATGTGTTTCATCTCGTGAGGACTGTCTTAGTTTGATTTTTTTGTGTCAGTCCCAGACAGTCGCGAGGCTATGACACCTCTCCCATCACCAGAAGGAAATCTTACGACCGTTCATACAGGTACATGCACACCTGTTCTAAAGTCGTATCAGTCATGATTTCATTGCGCTACTTCTCACATTTACTGTTATTTATATGTATTATTTTTCTCCCGCCATTTCTCAGGCCTACTGATGGCTACACACCCCCTTCCTCCCCTCCCCTGAGGACCAGGAATGACCGCAACGTGTTCTCGAGGCTCACCAGCAACCAAAGTCAAGGTTCTGCTCTGGACAAGTGAGTACAATAAAATACTTTTTTTTTTCTTTACATAATCTTATACTCTTACTTACAGCCAGAGTTATTTTTTTACGTCTTCTCTTTGGTATACCGGCCCTGTGGGGTGTCTGAAGTTCAGGTCTTTGGAGAAGAAAGGGCCTTCGTCCGTGGTTTTGTGGAGCTTAAGTGTGTGCAATTTCCAGTGAGTTTATCTGCACATCAATCTCATCGTGGAACCAAGAGCACTTCAAGGGGGCATTAATGCCAATCTCCAGGGCACAAGTGCTACCAGCAGTTGTGTTTCATATGACCAGGAGGCACTGACGATGTGCTTCACAACTGCAGGATAATTGGTGCTCAGAGAAACATATAAAAGCGGAATTTAATTACGGCGTCTGTTGCAAGCCATTTTTTTCCTATTTAGCAGGGAATACATACAAAACAAGTCTGTAGAAAGTCACCTCTGTGTTGGCTCACTTCGGCATCGGAATTGTGGAAATGTAGGTTTTGTGCGCTATGATATTCAGTTGCTTGTTAGGGATGGGCAATTTTTGGTTGCTGATTGATTTGATTGGAAATGTTGCCCCTCTTTTGGAATTCATTGTTGATGAACTGTGATTGATTGCATGAAAAAGTAGAGGCAAACAAGCCTTGCATGTCTCGCCTGCATCAGGCAGGCATTGTGAAGTCAGTGCAAAGTGTTCAAAAGAACAACAGCATTCCATAAGTCAGCAAGTTCCACCGAACATGCACATTTTCTATTTTTATAACATCATTACATTACAATGAAGATGCGCCTCATAAAAATATATGAGACGTGAAAATATATTATTTAAGTGGGTGTAGTGAGTTATGGGGTAGGTTTAGTTCGTATACAGTACGGTCGTCAGAACTGCACATCGCAGAAAATGTACATTTACCGAGAAGAGTTTGTTTTTATGTTGGTTTGTTTTTTGTTCATTCATACGGAATGCTGAGAAAATGTCTCATGACCGCTGCGTTTTTATTCCCCGTCAATACACAAGGTGTGAGGGAAAACCTCCAGTCGCAAAGTGGAGACCGGCAATATCGAGTGGCAACACAAATGGTTGGGGTGGGGGTGGGGGGTGTTAGGTCAGGAGGGGGCTCGACGGACAAATATCAGCTATTATTTTAGGCAGGTTTTGCACGTTCTCGGCATTTGTTTTGCAATCTTCATCGAATAGTTATATTTTGCCTCGTCGTGTGCAGTTATTTTCTGCGGATGTTTACGTATGAATGTTGTCATGCTTGAGCTCCTGGTTTTTCACAGTATGAATTGACGGAGGCGTCGGTGAATGTTTTGCTTTTTTATAATCTTTCAATGCAGCTGTTGTCATTCGCATCCATTTTGAATGAACTCAGCCAAACAATGTGGGAGGTTGTTTCTCTGTATAGCTTTTTTTTTTTTTTTTTTTTTTTTTTTTTTTTTTTGATTTTTCCCGTGGTTTTTTAGTCTCTTAGCTTTTGGGGTGTTTTTTTTTTTTTTTTTTTACATTACCGCTGCACCTGTATTGATGGAAGAAATGGGTTGGAAAGACGTTTTTTGTTGCACAAAATAACGATTAATGGCCTCCATTCTTAATTTTATCTTCACATGCGTTACCCTCTCCCTGTATACAGTGTAGAATCATGATCTTTGCAACTGTGACATTCTCGAGTTCACATAAGATAACAACATCCCTGTTTATTATCTGTTAGCCCTCCAATTTAAAGTGTATCTTTGCAGATACAGTAGCACGCACACAATTGACTAGACGATTTCCAGACAGTGTTCTGTCCGATTGCATTAAGCGGTTTTGATTGAGAGAGTAAATCTTTACTTTATCTACACTTCACAATTCCTTTCCATAAAAGCAATGAAAAATAGATGTGTCAGAAATGGAACGTCACTCTGGTAATATATTATTATTATAATATTATCTGAGCTAGTTTTACATTATCATATCTAGAAATATGAAGAGCCAGGTTGTTATCTTATTTCATGTTCTGTGGCTGACAAACAAAGGCCATTAAAAGTTTATCATGTAAAAACGGTTTACTGCTCCTCTATTAAACACACAAACTTAAATAATTCTCGCTGAGATGATATGGAGATAAGGGAGTGGTAAGGAGGAATTCCCTCAACACTGTTCTTCCCTGCAGGCATTATGATTGATGATTATTATCGCTTCTGCCTAATTATAACCACAAAGCGAGGAGGACACTGACATTGTGGACCTTGTATACAAAGAATAATGGATACAAAAATGTGCTGTTTTTGCACCTCTGTGACTCTTCGGTCGTTGCAAAGGGCTCTTTGCCCATGATGCTGTGACGTGAGGCTGTGACCCTCCCGCAAGGTCTGGGCATTGTTTCGTTACATTGCTCATTAATAAATTAGAGAGCTAATGTCAAAAACTGGTAAATTACTCTGCGGTGTTTGGCTGCAACCATACAAGTGGGAGACACAGGGCCCTATTTGCGTTCCGGGCCCAAGCCCAACGGAAAACTCTGCCTAATTGAGCTCATGGGTGGAGTTTTCTTTCTTTTGGTCGTTTGCTGTAGACTTTACGCCGGTAGAATTGCGTGTAACTGGCCGTTTGCGCTGGCTGGAATGGAGTGTTTTCTATCTATCTAGCTAGCTAGCTAGCTAGCTATCTTTCTATCTATCTATCAAGCTAGCTAGCTAGCTATCTCTCTATTTATTTATCTTTCCTGGAAGTGAACCAGCAACTTAAACGCCCGGGTGCAACCAAACATGACATCTTTCATCAGTCAAGCATAGCATAGAGCTTATTCAGAGTTTACCGATCACTGGAAAAGCCATGCGCACTGCTTTATATCTCAAGCCTTTCCTGAGTCCCTCCTTCTTTGTAAACCCATTGCCAGTAACCCTTCTGTCTTTCCTTCGCGTGATTAACCTTTCCTCTCCCTGACACCCCACCCTGCCCCGCTCCTTCCTCTTCTGCCCCCAGGTCAGATGACAGCGACTCCTCGCTCTCCGAGGTGCTCAGGTAGACCAACTGTGTCGTTTTCCTTCTCTGTCTGCGTCTTCTGCCATGTCCTTGTAAAGTCACCCTGACATCATCACGCTTCCTATGGTCGTCAGTCGCCGCCTCTTCACCGCCTGTCCTTCTTCCACCCACTAGCCTCTCCACCTGCACGTGATTGTGGTTTCTTCATGCCGTTGCGAGTACGCAGACCCTGAATGACTCTTGTCTGTCACCTAAAACTTGGTTGTGCAAATGGATGCTTCCAGAGTCAAAATGTCGCCGTCATAAAATCGTTGGTAACATTGCAAATAATAAAATAAACGAACCGATATTAATGAGACGATACATAATGTCTATTAGCACTTGCCTACTGACGACATGCAACAAACGATGGCGGATGAGTAGATGATACAGTGTTAGCTTACACACTCAAAACTTTAGCTCACTAATGAACACTTTGTTTTTCTCTGTGCAGCATGCAGCCAGACTTTTTTGACCAAAGACAACAGCACATGCTAATTGGTGTGCTTTAGAGGTTCTGTGGTTTTATCTTTTGGACAGAGTTGGTGTAAGATAAAAGGTTTCGTTTCATATTGATATACACGTTTTTCTGTCCTCACTATCTCTACAAGTTTCTCACTAATTCACAACTTGAAGCGGCTTTCGCACAGGCGCTTCTGTCTGTTTCTCAGTGTGATACAGAGAACACACACTGATCTGCCTCCACGTTTCTCATTAGTCTGTCGGTCCCCCAAAGCTCGGCACTGCAACATCCATTAGCTGCTCTTACATACCTCATAACTCTGCACACTATGAGATCTGTCACGCTGATCGAGCGGGAACAATTGCTGCTATTTGGACCGGTGCAGTGCTGCAGAGAAGCTTTATTCCTGTTTGGATCTTCAATGGAAAAAGAAAGGGGGATGAATGGTGTAAAATATTTCTCTTAATATAAACAGGATGATTTAAAAAAAAAGTGTTCAATGTTTCGTTCTATGCAGTAGCAATGAGCTCCTTGTAGCCTTGACAACAGACAGGAATGAGGTTCGCTTAGAAAAACGCGCCGACCTATTTCCCTCCGAGCTTTTAAAATGATAATTCTCCTCCCCGGCTCTCCTAGTATTTTTTTTGTTCAAGTTTTGTGTGTTGCCCCTTTTTTTTATTTATTTTCCCCAAAAGCACAGGTGGGGCATAAGTGGCTTTTCTTGTAATGTTTCTCACCTCCAGTACCGATTGTACATGCATTGGTGACGCTGATGTAACGGGGTAAAGTGATTGTGATTCTGAGGCACCATGGCCAACAGGGTCTCAAGAAAATAGTACTTTCAATGTGCGCCCTTGACGTGGAGGGGGCCAAAATGTTTTCTTTCTTCTTCACGGTGCCCCCATTCCATGGAGGTGGTGAACAAGGTGCTGTGACTGGTTGTTGCATGATGTCACCTTCTGTAGTGAGGTTTTTTTTTTTTTTTATCTGCAGGCTGCGCTTGCATTTTTTTTTTTTTTTTGGTGCAATTTTTTTGTTTCATGTGACTCTTTTCTTTTTGGGTTGGCTGATGACTAACTTTTTGATTTGGTTTGTTAATGCAATAGAAAGCAATGCGTGTGCATTTGCGTCTCATCCCAATTGTGTTTCTCTTCCCCCCTCAAAAGCTGTTCTCTCAGCTGCGTTTTTATATTAAAAAAAATATGGCACCGGCCACTTGAGCAGAATACATACCAAGAAAAGTGTGATTAGCACTCTTTCTTTCTAATAATGGACTTGTTTTTTTTTTTAATCTTCCAATTTCTCATTCAACACCAACATGTAAAATCACACAGATGACTCAAGTCATTCTTCACAGGGACATGCAGTCCTTGCTGACGGAGCAATGCAGATCAACAAACAGACTTGCTTCAAAATTTATTATTATTTTTATTATTATTATTCAACACATGCCGATTGTGCTGGGCAGAATTCACAGAGCTCCAGTCGCATCGCCCGATGGGAAAAAAAAATGTCTCATTCTATGCAGAAGCAATGAGCTCTGCATAGAAGGAGGATGGAACATGAAAATCAGATACTCATGAAAAGTTCAAGATGACAACAAATCAAAAACACATATCAGAATGACAAACAACTGGCACTGTTCAATGTTTTCTTCGCTGTTACTGTTTATCCCCCACTTCATCCTCATGCACTTCACACACGCGCACAGGCCCCACTAGTGTTATTAGGAAGCCCACCAGAGACCAATTTTCTCACAATCCCTCCCTTCCCCTTCACCATCTCCCTGCACTTGCCTCACTCTGCTGACTTCTTTCCAGGATTTTTTCCACTCTGGACTGTCAGCATTACATGGGGGGGAGGGTTGGGTGCACATAACGTACAAAGACAGCTGTTTGTATGTTTCATGCAGTGTTAATGATGGCATGTTTGTGTGTGAGCGAAGAAGTGGGTTGACTAGCAAAGAGCTCCTTTCCATAAAACACTTGAATTTGACTTTTACAGAACAGATAATAAAGTGGGAGCGGGAGATCGGTCTCAAGTGTGTGCTTTCAACGGCCGCATCATTCGGTGCACCTGCACAAAATAATAACTGCCAATGCAAGAGCTGTAGCAACACTCCGCAAATATATCCATATTCCAATCCGTTTGTCCCCACAGGGGTCGCGTGGCGTGCTGGGGCCTATCCCAGCTGTCTTCGGGCAATAGGCGAGGGACTACCTGAACTGGTTGTCAGTCGATGTACTCTGCCTCGAAGCTGGCTTAAGACAAAAATGGAAAAAAATAAAATAATAATTAATGCGCTCCCCCAAGTGTCCTGAATCACATAATCGACAGTAGAAACATGCACGTTAAGACCCGGCACCGCTTACAGCAATGGTTCTCAAACATTTGACACCATGTCGCAGCTCTCCGCTTTCCAATAATAAAATACAGTAGTGTACTAAGCCCAAGGGTTCATCAAAAAACAAGCAGAGGTTTTATTCTTGAAAGGTAAATTTGATATTTTTATAAGCCATGATATAAGCCACGCTTAAATATTTGAAAAAAAAAACCCTACTCAAATAACGATTCAATTAAAATGTACTGTGCAGACGTTAAATAAGACTTAATAATAAGACAACTTAATAAATGTTTTGAATTAGACGCAACTCACATTGTACTTCAGTTAAATACAACTGAGCTGAACCTAATACATTTACTAAACTTGATTGTATATTTTTGTCAAAGCAGAATTATTGATGAAGCTCTCAAACTGGATGTCAGTATTTTTTTGGGGGGTTCTGGAGTGCAGGTGTATAATTTTTATTTGCTTTATAATTTAAAATGTATATTTGTTTTTTTGTTTTTTTTAACAAGCATGTTTGCCTTTGGTTGTGCTTCCATCTGTGGAAACGTAGGAGCGAGCATATACGCTCATTTTGCCTGAAGGTAGTCACACAGCGAATGATTTTTTTTTTGTTGTTGTTGTTTTCTTTAGGGGCGTTATCAATCCTATCGGCGGTGTGAAAGGGGGTCGGACAGCCCCCCTGCAATGTATGTCTGTAGCCGAGGGCCACTCCAAGCCAGTCCTGTGCGTGGACGCCACAGATGAGCTGCTGTTCACCGGATCCAAAGGTACACACGTCACCAACGCACTGACAAAAAAGTCAGCGATTGGTCATGAATCCATTGGATGAATCCATTGGAAACACTTGTCATATGCGTACTCGTCTCAATATATTCCTCCAGATCGTACTTGTAAGATGTGGAACCTAGTGACAGGTCAAGAGATCGCCACGCTCAAAGGCCATCCCAACAACGTGGTGTCGGTCAAATACTGCCCCTCCTCGGGTCTGGTCTTCTCAGTCTCGACGTCTTATATCAAGGTGTGGGACATACGAGATTCGACTAAATGCGTCCGCACCCTCACGTAAGTGACCGCCGCTCAACCAGCCACATGCAGTGGAGAGCCGATAAATATTTGCGAAGGCACAGAGTCAAATGTTAACATGAGCTGAATAAGGGGTGAAACGATGCTCAGTAAAGGGCAGTGAAAAAGAGGAAATATGAAGACCTCTGCCAAGGTTTTACCATTGGCTGGAAATGAAAGAAAACATTGTATTTCTGTTTTCGACCTCTGAATGTTATCAGGGTACTTCCACTTTGCGATTTATAGAAGATAGCATAAAACAACAAGGACACATCATTTTTTGTTTCGAGGCTGCGATGAATGTTTCCATTATGAATCTGCCATGGAAAATAATGGATATTAAAGTAGGGCGGTACGGCGGGTGACTGGTTACCACATCTGCCTCACAGTGCAGGGGTGCAGCGTTCGATTCCAAAAAAAGTCGGATTTTTTTTTTTTTTAAAATCCAGACAGAGCATTATCTTTATAAAAGCAACATTATTATTCCCATGACATTGTGCATTTTATTTTATTTATTTCTCTTTTTCTTCCTCATTGATTTCATTTTTTTTTTTGTTGTTGTTGTTTCCTTCCTCCAGTTCATCCGGACAAGTAGTGTCAGGCGACGCGTGCGCCGGCGCCACCACCCGCACAATAACATTTGCACACGGCGAATGTCAGATCAACCAGATTGCACTCAACCCATCAGGATCTGTTTTGTATGCCGCGACTGGAAACACCGTTCGCATCTGGGATCTCAACAGGTGCAGTGCATTCTTTTGTTTGTTCATTAGTGGACTGCTATTCATCCACGCGTGTGTGTGAGCTCTTTGTAAAAATCGTTTTGTTTTGTTTTTGTTTGCAGACTGAAATACCACTGTTGACTATTATCGACTTAGATAGCTCCTTCATGCTTTTTGTATGCTTTTGTGATACTCCCACTTGATGAACAAAATGATTCTCTTTTATTGAGTACACCACCAATTCCCACAGAGAAATTGACTCAGGTTGACATGCTTTGATGTATATTTTCAGAATCAAACCATCCATGTTTTGGTACCACATTTTCCTTCGCTGACGCATTTTGATGTGGATTGATTTTTTTTTTTTTTTGCCAATACACATGGGGACACATTCATCATTAATTCATGTATTTCTTAGTTTGATGCTTTTTTTCTGTATTGATTACATGATGTCAGACATAAACCAGACATTAACCGCAAGCAAGATGTTTCAGCATAAAAGAGTTAAAAAATGCTGCAGAATACTCGTGAAAAGGTACACGCCGTGCCTTTTTTTGGGGAGGGGGGTGCCAACATTCTCCTGTTCATATTTATTGTTCTTGAGGGACGCAGGGAAACCAGACAGAAATGCTGGTACCATTTATTGATGCGTAGGAATTCTGCCAGGATGAAAACGCATTTAATAAACACCCCGTTTGTTTCATCTCGGCCTCCGTGACAGGGGGGGGGCTCGGGCTCTGGCGGGCGTGTTGGCGAAATGGAAAATGTCTCTGTTCATTGAAAAGTGGTTCTATGAAAATCTGCTTCAACTTCTTCTCTACGTGTGCGCGTGCGTTTTAGGATGCAAGCTATGGGCAAGCTGACAGGCCACATTGGCTCTGTGATGTGTTTGACGGTGGGACAGTCTCTGCTGGGCAAAGACCAAGTCATCACTGGCTCGAAAGATCATTATGTGAAGGTAGTTCACATGAAGACACACTTTTCACACCATATCTGATTTTTAGTCATACTGTCAGGAGAATAGTTATAGATACTGAATGGTGCGTTGTTGCTTCCATTTACAGGTATTTGATGTGGCAGAGGGGACGGCGGGTAACGTTGGCCCAGCTCATAACTTTGAGCCACCCCATTATGACGGCATCGAGTGTTTGGCTGTGCAGGGAGACGTGCTGTTTAGTGGATCGAGAGACAACGGAATCAAAAAATGGGATTTGGAGCAGCAGGAGCTCAGCCAGGTGTGCAGCGTGTGTGTGTGTGTGTGTGTGTGTGTGTGTGTGTGTGTGTGTGTGTGTGTGTGTGCGCGTGTGTGTGTGTGTGTTCCAGCCCATTGTTTCAGAAGAATGCAAGCTGAATAATGAATGCCTCTTGCACGATGCAGAATCCCTCAATATTTAGAACAAGTTGGGGGG